ACAATTTGAAATTTCTGTGGAAATGTTTATATCTTCCTCCATAGTTATAGTTTTGCATTTTTAAGCTCTTTACTCTTTTTTTATTCTCATTTTCTTTATTTAACACTGTATTAGAGACCCTGATGATAGTAGGTATTCATAGTCTCGTGGGAAAACACATCAATATTTCATAAAAAGAATGATTTTTGATGTAGTTTTAAAATGCATATTTTTATGATCATAGGAAGTTCTGTTCTTAGTTTCCTATTTTTTTCTGAGTTGATGTTAAATTTTACCAAATATGTATTCTGCATCTGTTGAGCAACCTTTAAAATGATTTTTCTTTATTTATGTAGTGATTACAGTGATGGATTTTCAAATATCAAATCGATTTTACATTTCTAAAATAAGCCCAGTTTTGTCATGTCCTTTTTATATGTTGCTGAATCAGATTTGCTAACGTTTAATACATTTGCGTTTACGTTTATTAGTGAGAATGGCCTGTAATTTTCCTTTCGAATAATATCTTTGTTAATCACAGTAATGTTAGCCTTATAGATTGAATGGAGGAAATATTCCTTCTTTCATAGTCTATAAAAGCTTGTGTAAGGTTGGCATCTTTTTTTCTTCTTTAACTGTCTTACATGATTTGCTGATGAAACTATCTGGTCCTGAAGTTTTCATTGTGGTAGGCTTTCGATTAGGCTGTCAATTTTTTTTTTTTTAAATCAGTACTGGGGGTCAAACTCAAGACCATGCGCTGCTTGTAAGGCAGGCGCTTATGCCTCTGAGCTAAATCCCCAGCCTGGTCCATTTCTTTAATAGGGAATGATTCAAATTATCTACCAACTCTAGTTAAAAATATCTCAGTGTTTGTTTGTTTATTAGTGACTTTCCTGTCAAAGGAACACAATACCTGACACCCCCAACTTAAAGGAGAGATTTGGGTCAGGGTTTTCCATTGGTCCAGAGCTGGCCGCTCCGAGGCTAAAACACATAATGATCAAGCCTGGTGAGGACAGATGCTCATCCCACGGAAGCAGAGAAAGGGAATAGGAGGTAGGGACAAGAATACACCTTTTCAGGTCCCGGCCCACTTCTGACCAGGCCCCCGTTTCTAACAGCATCTTCAGGAATGAACTCATCAATGGGTTAATTCATTGAGGAGTATAGTGCTCTCAGGATCTAAACACCTTTCAAAAACTCCTCCTGAGTGGGGTGTGGTGGTAAATGCCTGTAATCTGAGCACTCCGGAGGCTGAGGCAGGAGAATCACTGCAAATTTGAGGCCAGCCTGAGCTACAAAGTGAGCCCAAGGCCAGCCTGAATTGCATAGTGAGACCCTGTTTCAAAAAGAAAAAAGAAAAGACTGGAGATGTAGCTCAGTGTCAAGGCCTTCATTTCAATCCTTAAGTGCACCCTTTCCCCCAAATTACAAGTTTCATATTTTGTATTTGATTCATTGGTTCCTTGTGATTAGATTATGGTTATAAATCTTTGCCAGAAACATTACTTATTGTATAGGACTGTGATTAGTCTTACTAAGACTTCGATAAGTCTCACTTTGATTAGTCTTACTCACTTGATTAAGGTGATGTCTGCCAGGGTTTACTACTGTGAAGTTACTTTTTCTTTTGAATGTATAGTCCCTGATTTATGAGCGTTTCAGTTGTAAACTTTCATAGATATGAATGAACCTCTCACTGAACATTCATAGCTGCAAACAAATCACAGAAGTAGCTCACATGTCAGCTGCATATTGTCATGGTTTTGCTGTTGTGTCTCACTGTACAGTGTGATAGTGTACAGTAGTGCAGTGCTCAGTCAGAACTCAGGAAGTCCACAAGCAAGAGGAAAAGCAATGGGTAATGAGGAGGGGACTGCTAGGAAGCACAAAGCAATAACTATGCAAACAGAAATGAAAATAATTGAGATGCTACTGATGTGAAAATTTGGTAGATGTTGCTTATTGTTGAAACATGAATAATTTGACCATTGGCACAATTCTGAAGAACAAGATCATGAAAAAAAAAAAAAAAAAAACCAGAACAGGATCATGAAGTGTGAAGTCTGTTGTGCAGTGAAGTCAACATTGATAACCAGGTATCTAATAATATCTATAAAACATGTAAAGTGATAGAGGAGATAGCAAACTTATCAGTGTGTGGATGCAGGATCAGCTTCATTGTTGGCCCACTCAGCTTGATGCTTTTTGAAGATTAAGCTAAAACCTATTTGAAGACTTAAGGAAAAAAAATGAGATGAACAGGGCACATCTTTTACTCTCAGCTATGGGTAACTTAACAAATTCAAGGCTAGAGCCAGCCTTCATAATGTAAAAGTAATCAGGTGGGAGCAAGTCTGTTTTGCCCCCATCTCCTGTTGCTGATAATTCATCAGCTCCCCATCTCCCACCTATCCTCCTTTCTCTTGTTAATAGCTGTCTTCTTGTCATTTTACCCCATGCAATCCCCTATATGCCTGTTTGTTGTACTATACCACCATTTTAAGGTAACTGTAAAGATAAAAAGTTTATTTACAGTATTTTTGTGTGTGTTTATTTGGGTTTTTAATGCTTTACTTTATATATTTGTGTCAATGGTATGTAAGACTCACTTTGTTAGACTTAGGAACAAGTCAGACTTATGAAGGTATCTGACTTTAAAAAGTCTCCCAGATAGAGCTTGTTCAAAAGTCATAGACTGGCTGTACATGTATTTTGTGGGAAAGCACTCTGAAACTATCTTTCATGCTGTTTTATTTATTTTTATCTGTTGCTCCATGATTTTCGATTTCATTCAGTAGCTTAAAACGTATTGCTCTCATTATTTGTGTTAATGCTGACATATATTTTATTGTAGCCACAGTCTCTTTCCAGCTGGATTCTATATTCTTGTGACATGTGTCTCCATCATTCTTTACTTTTTTTCTTTTTGGCATAAGATATTCCAGATCATTTTATGGTTTTTCTACCCTAGTGCTATCATTGACTAATTACAATTCTCCAAGGAACTTTGACTCATTTTATTGAAGGATGGAATTAGAAGCCAGGAGTTGAGTGCTAGGTATGGTCTCACTGTTGGAAGTGGAAGTAACCACTGCTCCTAGGTCTTCTCAGTACAGAATTAGAGCACTAGAAAGTATGTATGGGTGTGTATGTGGTGCACACGCACCACACATTTACATCTGTACTCTTGAAATCCTGTCATTGCATTCATACCTCTAGTTTCACCCTATAGAGTTTACCCTAACCTTTTCCCTTTCTGTATTTGTATCTCTCTTCACTAACAGCAAGAATTTTGGGTTCTAGTGTCCTTATTAAGTCAGAGTTGATCAGTCTGCACCACAGAGCAAATCTGATGCTGTTTCCAAACTCTTATGTGTGGAATTGCCTTTGTCACCTGCGAGGCTGTTTTCTTCCTTGCTGCATTTTCTCTATTGCCGGTGTCCCAGCATTTTTTGTGAATCAACCCTCTGTGTGTGGGAGCTTCTTACCTTGCTTGTATCCCACTTTGATGGAGACTGCCACCTGTGCACATGCACTTCTAAAGGGCTAGAGACTGCATCTTTCAGGATGAAAGGAAGCATTTCTGGATTTCTTTCTTTTTCTTTCTTTCTTTGCTCTGTCTCTCTCTCTCTCTCTCTCTCTCTCTCTCTCTCTCTCTCTCTCTCTCTCTCTCTTTTAATTTTGTATTAGGTCTTAAATTCAGGACCTTGCGTTTGCAAGGCAGGTGCTGTGTCCCTGGCTTATTTGTGGATTTCTTAAGTTTTATGGTTTCTTCCTGTGGCATACATTCATGTGTTCCTTTGTCCATCCATTCATATTTTTTAAATGGACATTTTTTTAATCCCTTCAGTTTGTGATCTTACATTCTCTCTTTCTCTCTCTCTCTAGGAAATTTAGTCACTTTACTGCAAGTATATTTTACTTAATCTCATCCATTTTTTGTCTTTCTATATACACTACTATGTGGATATCAATTTCCCTCATTTCTCTATTCCATAGCTTTTGATTTTTCTTTTTATGTATGTTCTCTCTTCCAGATGTCTTTTGCAGAGTCCCATAAGCTTGATGTTCTTGGCTTAACCTTTGAGCTGTACCCTTTCAGATGTTCAGCTATTAAGTTTATTGTTCAGTGATTGTATTTTTCATATGTATATTTATTTCCTCGTAATGACAGTTTCTTCCCATTTTTATTTCTCATTCACTCTTATTGAACATGTTTATTTTAAGCTTTGCTTTTTTTTTTTCTCCTATGAACTCGTGTATTTTGGGGACATTAGCCATTTTGATCAATCACGATAGGCAGTAGAGTTGGGAAATCCTAGTTTGTACCTCTCCTGCTGAGTTTAGGGAATGAGGAAAGGTTTTGGCATGGATGTGCAAGAAAGGACATAGTCAGGTCAAGGCTCTTTCTAATATTATAGGCACAACACTTATCCATGGACTGAAGGAGTGAAGTAAGAGGGAAGAAGGTACCTGTGAACATGTGGACATCGGAACCATCCAGGCCATCCATGCATGTTATAAATGGCTGTGCCTCTAGCTGGCTCCATTGTGATCCTTGCATTCTGAAGCCCCTTGACAGCTCTAAGCTTGTGGACAGTTTTTCTGCCTTGTAACCCTATTTGTCTTTTAGAGACAAATATTTACCTTAACTTCCAGCTCTAGTTTCCAGCCCTTACCTGCTGTGCCTCTGTTTTTACCTCATGTTGGGACCACTTTTCCCCATGTTGTCTCAGGGCTTTCTGTGTGTAAACAAATGAGTTTGAAAAAAATTACCATAGCTTACTATTTTAAAAATGCCTGATTAATAAAGCTGATTACTTGTAGAGATAGTTTAGATTCAATAGAATACTGTATTTTTATCATCTCCCCCCCGCCTCCCAGTACTATACTTAATCTTCAGATTAAGCCCAGGGTGTTTTAACTGAACTATATGCACAGACTTTTCTTAAGATTATTTTTGAGCTACATTCCAACCCTATATATTTATTTTTATTTTTAAAATTTTGAGACAGTCTTGCTAAGTTGCCCACACTGGCCTCGAACTTGGGATCCTCCTGCCGCAGTCTCCTGCATATGTGGGATTGAAGGTGTATGCTATCTCATCCAGCTGCCTTTCCTCATCTTAAATATAAATGTAAGTCAGTGATAGGATATTGTATGATGATTAGTAATCATTCTGTGAAGTGCTTAACTCTGTTCCCCTTTGGGGATTTTAGATTGTTTTCAGCTTTTAATTGCTGTGATAATGAAGTATGGAAATGATTTTCTCCTTTGCGTGTGTGTGTGTGTGTGTGTGTGTGTGTGTGTGTGTGTGTGATTGAACTCATGACCTTATGCTTGCCAGACAGGTGCTGATGCCCCTGAGCTGAATTACCCAGCTGGTTTTCTTCATTTGTAGGATCATTTTCCAGGATGTATTTACAGACTAAGTCAAATGGGCAAAAGTTGACAAGTGGATTGTTAACTATACAGAGGAATACTTTAAACAGAATTAAGCATTCAAACAATGCTTACTAGATGAGAGAATAATGTTAAATTGCTTTCCAACATGGTTCTACCATTTTTCTCTTCTCTCTCTTCTTTTTTTCCCCCCTTTTTTTGGTCTTTTTGAGACAGGGTCTTATTATGCAGTTCAGGCTGGCCTTGAGCTCACTTTGTAGCCCAGGCTGATTTTGAACTTGTAGCAATTCTGTCTCGGCCTCCCTAGTGCTGGGATTACAGACATACTGGCTCTTTTCTCTCTTCTCTTTCTCTCTTTCTCCTTTTCCCTGTTTTCTCTCTTTCTCTTTCTTTGTCTGTCTGTCTTTCTTTTCTTCTTTTCTTTTCTTTTCTCTTCTTTTCTCTTTTTTTCTTTTCTTTTCTTTTCTTTTCTTTTCTTTTCTTTTCTTTTCTTTTCTTTTCTTTTCTTTTCTTTTCTTTCTGTACCAGGGATCAAACCCACAGCCTTGTTGCTGCTGCTTGTGCTGCTGAGCTAAATCCCCGGCCTCCTTTTCTTTTTTTTTTTTTTTTTAATCAGAAAGGAAACATCAAGTTTATTTAATGAAAAAAACTACTAGACATTGTCTTCAAGAACAACAGAACAAATTCCTGAAAAATAATTCAGGACCTTTGTGAACATGCTTAGTGGGAAGCGAGAGAAAAACAAAAATACTGCATAGCTTAAAATGTAAGGTATTTGCAAATCAACTTATTTCATGGGTGAATAAATCCCCTGGTTATTTCTCAGTATCAGTGTGTGTGCAGCCTTGTCCTCTGAATGTCTGGTGCAGTTAAACAGCCAAATGTTGCCATACAAATCAAATTTTCCATTTTCAGCCAACTAATAGTGGAGGGGCAACTAGTTCAATACCATCTCTGCAGACAAAGAGCATCAGGATATTCTGTTTCATTGATTCATATCTCTATTCATCAATTTCTAGAGTGGTCACAGTTTTCTCCACATCTCCCAGTGAAGTACTTGGTCATTGCTCATTTTCACATAGATTCACACGCTCATCCAGGCTGAGTCTGATGAGATCCACTGCTCCTCTATGGTGTTGGTGGTTTGTTGCTGGTCCATGTTGTCCACCCTGTTGGTTCTACCAGTTTTCATTCCCACCAATACAAAACTTTTTCAGCACGATCTTATGCTCAAAAGAATTTGCATGAGTGTAATCAGAAAATTTCTTTATCTGTCTTGGAGGTAAAGCACTGTCAGATGATACAAATAAGGTCTTTTCATTGTTACTGATGGGTAAATGTGTATATTTTTTTTTACAGGACTGAATTTGCTCTTAAAGAAATCATGTCCTCTGGAGGTGCTGAAGATGACATCCCACAGGGAGAGAGAAAAACAGTCACAGATTTTTGTTATCTTCTGGATAAATCTAAGCAACTGTTCAATGGTTTAAGGTTAGTGGACTCTTGATGATATAAACTTTTGTCTGGTTATGTTGGTTTTGTTGTAAGTTTCTTTTCTTCTTTTTTTTTTTGTACGGGGGATCAAACTCACAACCTCATACTTGCTAAGCATGTACTTATGCTGCAAACCAAATCCCTGGCCCTGTTGTAAGTTTCTAAAAGTCATGGATAGGCTCATGTAGTGCCAGACTCCTGTAATCCCAGCACTTGGGAAGCTGAGGCAGGAAGATTGCTATGTATTTGAAATCAGACTGAACTGGGCTACAGAGTGGGTTCAAGGTCAACCTGAAATGTATTAGTGAAGCCCTGTCTCAAAAAGACATAAATTAATTAATTAACTAATTAATAAAAAGACCATGGGTAGATGTTACATAAATTTCCATGAGATGTGATCGTGATTTTTTTTTACCTTTGACACTATTTATTCTTAGATGAAAGAATAGTAGGAGAGGAGGAAAACGTAGTTTTACTCAAGTTGGGAAGAGGAAATTGAATAGGGAACCTGCTGTCATAGTTTTGTAATTTTGTTTGCTTGCTTATTTTTTTTGTTTCTCTTTTTAGGATAATATTTTTGTCACAAAAAGTAATAATGGAGTGTTCTAGACAGTATTATTTTTACTAGAGTGTTATATGTCCTGGGCAGACAGGCAGCTGAGGTCATGTGTGCATTAGTCAAAATGTGGTTTTGTTTGTATATTGTATTTTATGTGTAAATAATTTTGCACCATTTTGTTTTATTTAAGTAATTCAATCTGTCTTTCAGGCAATAGGTAAACTACTAATGGGGAGTAGATTTTATTACTTAAATTTTACTTAATAGTGAATGATGGGGTCCAGGGATTTAGCTTAGCAGCTCAGGTGCTTGCCTGAGGTTCGATACTATATCTTCCTACTCCTTAAGCCTACCTTTGGGAGTTGGATCCCTGTCCCCCCCACAAAGTGAATAGTGGTAAAGATAGTTATTTTTATAGTTTATTATTGGTTAAAATGTATTCTTTTTCTTCTAAATTTTATAATTGTATTGTGCACTCAGTTGTACTGTGCACTCTCAGTTGTACATTTGGAAATGTACAACAGAGTTTACTTTTAAGGCAGTTAATTTATTTTATTTTATTTTATTTTATTTATTTATTTATTTATTTATTTATTTATTTATTTATTTATTTATTGTCTTTTTCGTTTTTATCGGTACCCCGGGGATCGAACTCACGACTGCCTGCTTGCAAGGCAGGCGCTTATGCTGCTGAGCTAAATCCCCAGCCCCAAGGAAGTTAATTTATTTTAAAAAACAAAAAACACTTCTAGTTCGAAAAGAAAAACAAGATTATCAAATGACTCTTCCGAGGTCAACCTGTAGCTACTCTCCTATCCATGTATTCACTTATTTGTGTTTGTGATGCTCACCACTCCTTCAGATTATTTTACTTGCTTATTATATCTCCCCGAACACAAAATAACCTTGTTTGTCACTGTGCCTCTGGCACTGTAGCCAGTGTCTTGCCCACTGTAGACAGTGAAAATTTTGAGTGGGTTCCATTGATAGTATTCTTATATTTTACACTCTGGTGCTCTGTTCAGTTTATAGATTAATTTTATATAGGTTTAAAGAACTTTTTTGGGGGGGTTATAATTCAGAAGAGTTGCTTGCAGGCCTAGATTTTGATATTCTGTTTTCCTAGAATGTTTAAAATCTTTTATATTTGTGTACTTGCTTTCTTCTTAATTATTTACAGGCTTTTAAAAAAAATGCAACATTTAACTAGCACTGAGTATGAATTACAGTCTATATTGTGCACAGAAAATTCAAAGCTAAAACTACTAAGTGTCTTTTTTTTTTTTGTACCAGAAATCAAACTCAGGGCCTTGTATTTCCCAGACAAGCAGCTGAGCTACATCCCCAGCCCTATATTCTTTTAAATGCGCTGTGAGGAAGCCAGGCGTGGTGGCTCACGCCTGTAATCCCAGCACTCGGGAGGCTGAGGTGGGAGGATTGTTGTGAGTTCGAGACCAGCCCGGGCTACAATGTGAGCTCAAGGCCAGCTTGAACTTCGTAGTGAGACCTTGTCTCAAAAAGACAAAAAAAAAAAAAAAAAAAAAAAAAAAAAAAAAAAGCTCAGGCTGGGAAGGAGGCTCGAGTTTGATTCCTCATATAAACAAGCAAAAAAAAACCAAACAATAGTAACAGCAAAAAACAAAGCTGAGGCAACCTTCTGCTCACTGATAGCTGGGCTTTGCATGTCTGCTGAGCATATTTCCCACTTTGTGTGCTTGTTGAATTGAAATCACATACAAAGTTACAAAATTATAGGAAAGGTAGGCTTAAAGAGTAGGAAGGTACAGACTTAAAAGCTTTCATGTAAATCCCTTGTGTAGTTTCTGGGTTCTAAGACTACAACATCGCATAGTTACCTTACTTGCTTTCCTCCTCTCCCTCCTCCTCCCTGTCCTTTGTTTCCTTTCTCTAGCTTTTATAAAGCTATATTTAAACAGTAAGTTTTACTCAAAGTTTATAACAATTTAGGTTTTTTGATTGTTGCTTTTGATTATTTAAATGTATTTATGCAGTATTTGGATTTGTGCATGGTGCTTTTGCACTGAGCTGTACATCACTAGCCCTTTATCTGTTTAAGCAGTTTGTTTAAATTTTGAGACATGGTTTTACCCAGTTGCCCAGGTGGGATTCAACCTTGTGATCTGCCTCAATTCTCCCTAGTTCTGAGATTATAGGCACGTGCCAGAGTACCCAGCACATATTAGTATTTTTGTTGTTGTTTTATTTTGAGACAAGGAACTTGCTATATGTCTCATGCTGGCCACAGATTTATGGCGATCTTTCCTAACCTCCCAAGGGCTGAGATTACAGGTGTGCACTGCCATACCCAGCTTATCACAATTTATAGAGTTTTTACAATTGTGCAACTATACCACAATCCATCTTTATAAGGGGACACATTTGTGTATCAGAGTCTATAGTTTTAAAGTCACTTTGAAGTACATCTCTGGCCCTTATCCACCATGTCAACAGTGTATAATACTGAAAATCTCTGTTGTCTAAAGAATTATATTTTAGCTTCTAAAATATTTCGGTTTTATAAATTTATGTTTTTTCAGCTCTGTTTACTACAACATGTTTTGTTTGTTTTAGAGTAGGAAAAGTTTATTGAGGAATCAGAATAGTCCTGAGAGATTAGAGGGTTCCCAAGTGGGTTATCACTGAGATCATTCCTCTGAGAATGTTTTATAAGACAAAATCACAAGTTGGATAAAAAGCTGATCAAGCTATAATCAACCAATAAGATTACAGGTATAACTACTTAGTTTTTATTGATCCAGTAGAAAAATGTTCATGTAGCAAGGGTTGACATCATTAACCTTGGCTTTTCTATGACTTCTAAAACAGCAACATTTGGGGGAAGAGATGCTTTGGGTAGTGTTCCAGCAACAGACTTTTGAACATTTCTTTTACAATAGAGATTTCTTTTAGAACAATAATAAGAAGGGCTTTTTTGATTATCTCCTTGCTGTGTGTGTCGTGGTCTAAAAAGAGGACCACAGTACTTGTGGAGAACATGAAATGTACTGGAAGTAGTCTGGACTAGTACTGAAGTCAGGAGAAGAGGTTTGAGATGGAATCTAGCTGGAACTGGGTCAACATGAACACCATCCTTTCCTTGGATGTTCTTTCACTGTTAGTGGTTGTCTTTTTGCTAGCTTTCCTTTGTGTCTTTCTTTTTCTTCAGTTTATGGAGTGGCGTTAAGATTTTCTTTTTTTCTTGTCTTTCTGGTTTTTTTTTTTTCTGTCTGTCTTTACAGAAAAGTGCATATAAATGTGGTATTTTTACAAACATACCTGTGTGATTTGTACAGGTATGTACAGCCTCAAAAACCTGCTTATGTTCTCTTTGGCTTTTAGCTATGGGCAGCGCTAAAACATGTTGCAATACATGAAAGGTTTTATATTTTATGTGTAATGCCAAGTTTTGGGTATAATAAATTCTCTTTTTACTCTTAGAGATATATCTTTCTATCTTATATTGAGTTGTTCATCTGAGTTGTCTGAGCTTTTTATTTTCCCAGCTGTGATTATCATAATGGAACATTTTTCTTGATTGAAAATACCTTTTTATAATATGTTCATAACAAATTAGCTCTTTTCCTTTCACTGTGTAAGAAAACATAATTCAGAGTGAGAAATGGATAAAATGAATGGCATTTTGCTTATAATAGCACTTGCGTGTAGTTACAGTCATAATGAAGTGAGAATAATGTTAGAAAAAGCTTTGAATACTGTCAGAAAATGATCAAAAGCTCAAAAGCTTGCAGAGCTTTGGTTACCATAGTGACTAAAACTGTTGAAGCAGAATGGAATACTTGGTGGGATTATATAAGACTGCATCTCGGATGGATTTGAGAAATGCAGTTGGGTCTTACTGGTGCTTTCTGTCACTTGTGGTGCTTTGTAAAAACAGAGACCTCCAAGTCACTAATGTTAGACTCCAGAGGAGCAAATATACAAAGCCAACACAAACTTCAGAAGCCAGAGGCAGTTTTTTCTTACCCTGAAAACTGTACCAAAGTGTAGTAGTTTTAGACCAAAATAATTACAGAAATTATTTTTATGAAATGTACTCCTAACATTCAAATTATGGAAGAAATCATCTACAGTATTTTGGTGAGAAACCTATTTTTAGGATGCTCTTGTTCTAAATAAGATGACAGACATTAACAGTTCATTGTTTCCTTTTTCTCTTTCTTTGTGCTTTTTTTTCCTCTCCTTTTTCTTCTTCTTTCTGTCCCTTTTTCATCTTGTCCTCTTTGAGACAATTAACATTCTTCTAGACGCAAGTTCTCCAAGTTAATAATATGTTTTTTTGTATGTGTGTGTGCCAGGGATCGAACTCATGACTTTGTGCTTGCCAGGCAAGTGCTTAAGCCACTGAGCTAAATCCCCACCCCCAATAATATGTTATTTCAGAGATGATATCCCAAAC